AAGCAGAACTACCTTTCCTTTTCTACTTTGCGCACTCAAAAAATAAAATATAAGAAAAGTCATATTTACATACAAGATGTCGTGTTATTCAATAGAATTAAACGTCGAGAGATAGGAATAGAGGTTGACCTTCTCCAATGAGAGTAGCACGATATATTTCACGGCTAATTTACGTCACGATCCCTCATCTAATAAAATGAGCTGCCAAGTACAAATTTCATCTTATATAGAAAGACAATTGTTCAGTTAAAATAGGGAGTTATTAACAATCTGATTAATAATCCTCTTTGTACTTCAAAAGCTTCACCATGTTTTCAAACGTTACAGCATCCCCTCCCCCAAACGAGAAAGGGCTTCTTCATCAAATTTAAACTGAGAAAAACAAGGGGAGGTGAAATTATTTTTTGAAATTTTGATACATGAAACAACGATATGAACATTATATGGGGGTAGAAAAACACTTACGCCTCGTTTGGTACGCGGGAATGGACAAACTTGGGAATGGAATGGAAGAAGGAATGAAATGGATTGCATGTGGGAATGGAATGGTCATTCTCATTCTCTTGTTTGGGTGCGTTCGTAGAATGAAGCTAGAATGGAAATCTCATTCTCATTCCCATGTTTGGTATCACTAGTACACAAGTGAGAATAAAATCTCATTTTCTAATAATGCCCTTACAACAACATAGATTTTTAATAAGATAAAAAATAAACATTAATGATAATAACTAAATAATTTTATATACGCATATGTTATATTAATCTAGGTATGTGTTATACTAATGCTCGTGTTATCCATCAGGTGTATGTTTCGTTTATATTTTTTAAACAATACTCGCTATTTCTTAGTCTTAAAAATTAAAGAAAAATAAAAAAAAGATTATCGTATCTTTCATAGGTCCAAAAAAAAGAATGATATCCACAATCCACAGTTCTAGATATATAAATTAACTTATTTGATAAAGCATCAAAATCACTCAATTCATAATAGCAAAAATCCATAAAACAATACCAACTAAAATAATATGTTTCGAAATAGCAAAATGATATACTAGCCTAAATTGTCAATCTAAAATTGTCCACTTGCATAGCGTCTCACCCAAACATTTTTTATTATTAATATGGATATAATTGAAAAATACCTAACTAGTTTTTGATTCTCACTTGAATGGGAATGACCATTCCTTATCTTCTCACTTGGAATGCTCATTCCCACAAATAGTGGGAATGATCATTCCTAGGGAATGGTCATTCCAACATCTAAAATATAGGTGTGTTTGGTATGAGGGAATGGGAAGTGGGAATTGCATTCCATTCCTCCTCATTCCCGCGTACCAAACGAGGCGTTAGGCTCATCCTCGCGGCATCAAATCCCGCGTTATCACAGCACTACAAAAATCATAATCATAATCCTATTAGCAATAGGATTTTGATCCTCTTCACTAAAAAAATAGTTAAGAGGCACCACGATATCAAAACCCTTGATTTGTTTATTGGGTGGTTACGTTTTATCTTTCAGTGTAAATTAGGAAAATGGTACAATTAATGAGTTAATATTGATAAACATTAGATATGGAACGAATCATAACTCATTGACTACTTCAATCAACGGTTATGATTAATATAGTAGTGTCTCCACTAATTTATTGATAGTCGGATAATCGAGATTCATTAATAATAATATCAATGTTTTCATGCTAGCTAACTTCCATTTTTAATAATGATACGGATAGATATGCATGTTGGTTAAATACTTTGTAATTAATTAGAATGTAACCTTTAGCTTGACTTTGTTTTTTTGGTTCTCAATGTCACTGAAACTCGATGTGCTTAACTTAACATTTGGTAAATGAAATAAAGTTTTCATTGACCCCCCCAAAAAAACAATAAAATTTAATCATTCCTCGCACATCATGCTCTATATTATCTGCGCATCTCCAGCAAAAAAAACCTTAAAAATAATAGGGGGGGGGGGGGGGGGAGC